TATGTTAAATTTATATGTTCTTAATATATGATCTATCAAATTGAACAGTTATATGATAATATAGATGAAAAGTAATTAAAATTAGAAATACAATTTGAAAATTGAAGATACTTTCTTAAATTATTATTAAATCATTATTTTTTACATCTTACATTTAATATTAGAGTAGCCAGGACTATGATAATTTATGTTAATACCATTCTTGCTCTAAGGCGGACACGTTAACCAATTATTAAAATAGGGGCGTTGTAAGTTTGAGAAGAATAATGCCATTTCGGCGTAATACTAATGACTAGAGGTGGACAGATCAATTTATCGAAATTGTTATCCCAAAAAAATTAATAATTTTGCCTATACAAAATGTTTTTAATATCAGATTTATCACCTCCAAGATAACAAAGTCATGGTATTCGATGAAAATGAAATATTGGTTATTCCCTAACTTATTTTTCAACTTAAATTAATGGATAAAACAATTTAAAATTTGATATTAAATCATTTAATAGTTTTCAATTTTTGACCACATATTTAAGGTTGTTTTCTAAAATACAGCCTCCATTTTATTTAAAAAGTAATCTTAAATCAACATTCATATGATTTAGAAATTCACTTTAATATATCAACGCACCAGTTGCTGAAAATTTTGGAGACTCTTGAGATATAACAAAAATAATAAACTAATGAACTAATAATTAAATAACAATTCATACCACATTCTTCAATTAGAGAATTAGTTTAAAGGGTTAATTAATGTTTAGTTATAAAATCTTTATAAACGTTATTTGACTTATTAATCTAGGATTTTTGCTTAACATCCCATAAACGGATTGACATGTCATTACTACCAGATATTAATTTAAAACCATCAGGAGAGAAACAAACTGACATGACCAAATTTTTATGACCTTCCAATTTGGCTACTTATTATCCTGTCTGAACATCCCATAAACGGATAGACTTATCCTCACTACCAGATGCTAATGTAATACCATCAGGAGAGACACATACTGATCGAACTCCATCCCTATGACCATCAAATTTGGCTTTTTATTATCCTGTTTAAATATCCCATAGGCGGATAGTCATGTCAGTACTACCAGAAACTAATGTAAGACTATCAGGAGAGAAACAAACTGACATGACCAAATTTGTATGACCTTCCAATTTGGATACTTATTATCCTGTCTGAACATCCCATAAACGGATAGACATTCGTATTCCGGCCGTAGGGTAGAGGACCCTACTATATTCAGGATGCAGGTATAGCCCCGGGATTTGTGAGTCAAAAAACTATGCAGGTACCACCCCGGGATTTGTGAGTCAAAAAACTATGCAGGTACCACCCCGGGATTTGTGA